CCCAGAAATGGTCCAATAAGCAAAGTGAACATGTCTATTGTTTGCCAACTTGTGAGCCTAAATCAGCTGCTGTGTGCCACACAGCTGTTACTTGCCAATTACTACTCAGCTTTTTATTAGATAAACTAAATAACATTCTGTTGTTTGGGATAGGAAATGTATTGTTCGTCTCAAGCCTAAGTAATTATCTCAGCCACAGGAATGTGTTGAATAACTCAGGCCTGAATGCTTTCTGTGGATATCTAAGAATCTGCAGCCATCCATTCAAAATCTAGCTCCAAACAGAACAGATTCCTGCTTTTGCATAATGGCAACATACAAACTGATTTATTTAAATAATTTAATCTTTAATGTTACACTAAATAAGCAAAATATGCTTCAGATCAGATTGCAAATCTGGCCGTGGTGACAATCCACTAGATGAAGCTGAAGCGAATGCTAATTTATATTAAATATTTGACAAAACAGAAGCAAGGCATTGCACCACAAGCTGAATACATCTTAACATGCGGTGCAGATTATTCTAATTACTTCCATACACATATACTTTTTTTTTTGTCCTAGTACTCAAGGCTCAGTGAGCTGCCAGCTGGAGTCATGTTACTCTCTTTCCATACAATAGAGTGAACAAACATATTTGACTTATCCAAATATATGGAAATGAAAGCAATATTAATTTACCTACAGCAACAGTGTCTGGGTGTTTTCCAGTCTCCCTGGTATTTATTTTACCATAAATAACTTATGAACTTTTAACTTATTTTACAATGCAACTGCAGCTGTGATTTCAAACACGCCGGTTTTTAAGGCACTGCTGGTTATACTGACAGTAGGCTAAACGTCTGTAGTATAATAGTATCAAAACGTAACATTACTGACTTTGTCCTTCATGAAACATTATTATTATCCACCACGTTAGCGGAAATAATCCATCAGTTTACTTTAACTCAGCGTAACAGGGGTAAAGTAGAGGAATTAGGAGGAGAGAGGGTACAAGAGTGGAGAAACTGAGATGGAGACAGACAGGAACGCCCTTTGGGTCGTTTAGCCCACGCGAATGAGTCATCGTTGTTCTCATTTAGAAACAACTATTTTGTTTCTTTCTAAACATTTGTGCTGGTTTGTGAAAACTTAAACTCTCTCTGAAATAGTTGTAGTCCATAAAACATAGTTATATAAACAGTACCATCGTTTCCAGAAACATGTGTGTCGCTTATATTGTTGGCTAATAAAGAAGCATAGTTTTATTCTGTAGTAAGTGTTTGAAAACGAAACGAGTAAACGGATTTATATGGCTCCTGTGCCCCTTTAAGCAATGTTTTTTCCTACGCAGCTATTATGGGCGTCGACACATAACTGTCGGAAATGTAACATATACTATTATTCTCTATAGAAGATTAAATATCGGCAAAAATAAAGGCGTGTTAAAACGTAATACATGCTAAAATGACGATAGACGTTTATTACAGCAATAAACAAATAACTTACCATCTTTGGAATTCACGTAATACTTCAAAGCTTGAAGCTAAAAAAATGACAAAATAACAGTGGAGTAATAAACATTAATGTGAATATAAAGCATGTGAGTATAAAATTATTTAAAAAAAAAAGCTTAGTTTATCAAGTAGGCTACCTAACGTAGCGAGATTATATCGAAAAGTTATACGAAAAGTTTAAGGATTGGTGTTTAAGCGCCGTTTTCATTTACTTACCGAGAGAAGAGTTTCAATTTAGGCGCAGAGGACAGCAGTACAGACCAAAAGAGGAAGGAGGAAAGAGGAATGAAATACACTAGAAGGATTACATTGGACTACGATGTGTTGAGCCACACCCTCAACAGTAGGCTACTCGCTGTGACTTGTGGCTATGGGTAGTGGTGTTTCTGCTTTCTTCTTATATTTCAACAAATCTGTGCATACGAAAGCAATGAATCACATCTGAGGACCAGGCATTTTAGAAGAATACAGAGAACCATTTTTTTTTTTTGCAGAATGTAAGCATTTATTACACAAAATTGTAAACTTTTGCCATGAGACTGGTTTGTGAAATGCAGGTTGTTCCAGCAGGTGCTCTCACTGTTTAATAAAACAAACGGAGAAAAACTATTTGCCAAGCAACATGTTAAGTCTAATCAAACACAAAGATGGGTGTCACATTACACAAATCTTTTTTTTTCTTCTTCTTTTTTGGAAGTATAGGCTATATACGATTGATCATTTGTACATGAATGCATGCAAGACTTGCCGATCAAATTTCAAGCACAAACACAATTGAACTGCATTATGCTCTAAGACTTAGCATGAAATTGAGAATACAGTTTCCCATAGGTAGCTGATGAATATATAAAAAGCCATACTCTTGTCTTTACGACCACATTTTAGGTGAAATTGTCTATAATCTCAGTACAGTGTGCACATGTACTGTTTATTCACCTGGAACCTTTATTGCTTGACACTATTGCTTGATCTGATCTATGCAGTAGCCTACATTTCAAGTCTTATGAATCCAATATAGCTTTATGTGATTAAACCCAAATATGAACACTTGATGAAAATTTACTTAAGCTCAGACCATCCGAGGTATGAGTTATGAGATGTGATCTGGAGAAATTTATCACCACATTGCTTGCTCATCGGTGGATCCTCTGCAGTGAATGGGTGCCATCAAAATGAGAGTTCAAACAGTTGATAAATCATCACAATAATCCACAAGTAACCCACATGACTCAAGTCCATCAATTAACATAGTGAATCAAAAAGCTGTGTGCTTATAATAAACAAATTCATCATTAAGATGTTTTAACTTCAAACCATTGCTTCTGGATAAAAGATGAGTCCATGTATGTCCATAATATTATTTGGCAGTCATATCACCCTATAGCCCATAGACTGGTTGCCCACTGAAGCTAAGCAGGGTTCAGTACCTGGATGGAAGACCTCCTGGCAAAACTAGATTGTGATGGGGACACTATACTGTCAAAAAGCACCATTCATCGGATGACCCATTAAACCAAGGTCCTCACTCTCTGTGGTCATTAAAAATCCCAGGACGTCCTTCGAATAAGAGTAGGGGTGTAACCCTGGCATCCTGGCCAAATTCACTCATTGGCCTCTGTCCATCATCATGGCCTCCCAATCTTCCCCATATACTGATTGACTTCTTCACTCCTTCTCCTCTCCACCGTGGGCGTTCTGGCGCAATATGGCTGCCGCTGCATCATCCAGGTGGATGCGGTTTTCCCCTTCCATGTAAAGTGCTTTGAGTACTCAGAAAAGTGCCATATAAATGTATCAAATTATTAATGAATTAATATTACTTTCAGGTGTCAGGAGAGAATCAGGAGAGAAATATGAAAAGAACTGTTTACAAGTAAAAACAGTCCAAACAGTTCTAATGTGTCAGTAGATTTTCACAACAGGGGATAGTTTTTTTTTTTCACTGGAGGAAGCGTTATTATAGATTATGGACTGGTATTTTGGCCAGAAGAGACGGTTTAAAGTTAAAACACCTTAATGATGGATTTATGTCTTACAAATGCACAGCTTTCCACTCCAAAAGATGTTAATTGATGGACTGTCACATATACTTGTGAGCTATTGTGATGTTTTTATCAGATGTTTGATGTTGTGATGTTTGAACTCTCATTCTGTCTGCACCCATTCACTGCAGATTATGCAGTGGTGAGCAGGTTTGTAATGCTAAATTTCTCCAAATCTGTTCTCAATCATCTGAAACGAACATCTACATCTTAAATGGCCTAAGGGTGAGTAATTTTCCCAGCAAATTTTCATTTTTTAGTTAGGCTAACTGTTTCCTAATTATTAATATTGGATCAGTGGGTCAGTGAATTGAACCCAAGAGATCTGATTTGTAAATAAATTATTCATATTGTGTAGTGCTGTTTCAGTACTGTAAATAGTTTCTAACTGTAATAGCCCTGTACATTTTAAAAATACAATTGAAAAATTGTTGTGTGCCCTCAGAATCATTCCAACCTTTCTAGCCAGATGTTGAGATTTTCAGTGAATAATGGCGGTGAATCAATTGTTTCAGAATGTTTTTTTTTTTGGTCATTTGTTAGTCATTCAATCCTCATTCTCTTTCATGATAAAGAGTCGGCAGGATATTCTTCAAAAATTTATCTAATAATCAAATTATGGTAATCAATATGCATTTGAGTGTGTAAACTGGTTTCACAAACACAGAAACAGGAGTGACAGTAAATCCACTTAAATTGGACATATTTAAAAGATATTAAAAAGTGCAAGTCATCAGCTGTTATTTCAACAGAGCCACTCAGGTCAAAGTAAAGTGTTATGTGAGTTGGGTAAAGTTTAATTTTGTCCTTAAATTCTTTATGTAGCTTCAAGTCATTAAGTGCTCTTAATTCATACTTTGTCCATACTATCTAATGTAAAATGTCACAGATTTTTTATTTTAATCAAATGAAATGATCATCTGAGCAGGAGAACTCTGGTAGCTTCCAGAATCGGTCGATGGCGGACCGGTCTATTGCTGGAGAATCTTTGCAGGAGAAACCAACTTTTCCCATTTCTCTCTCTTCCGTTTTACGTTGACCTTTTTCGACACACTAAATATACAGAAAAATTTCACTAGCAGGGTGAATGTGTGTGTCAGTAGTTCATAAATAGCTCGTGTATCTGGGCGGACACCCCTCCGTTCTGCGTAAATGGAATATGACCGGTCGCATATATGATCCTCGTGCTCCTTTAGTCTGGTTTGTGTTTTCTCGGGCGGCGCCTTTCTGAACTTTGAGAAGTGACACTCAAGACCGTCTGCAATCATGGAGTGGAAACCTATGGAAATAAACCCCGAGGTTTAACGCTTTATCGTGATTTAGCCTCGCTAGCTGATTTGTGTATCGTACATGCTTTCGCTTTCTCTTGACTGATCATGACCGACATATTTGTGCTCTTGTATTGGTTTCAGATGCTGAATAAGGTACGTTCGCTGAGTCATAAGATGAGGTGATGGTGAGACTGTCTGCTGGACAGGTCTGTGGCGTCTGGGACTGAACCGTCATGGACCCCAATCTGAAATGAAAGGGCGTGGGCTTACACACAGCATCACCTACTATGCACAATAACACGCAGCATTTTTATATGCATGCTAAACGCAATAATTTGTAATTTTGCATAATACCATTAATATATTAGCCGTTTATAAAATAGCCTAAGGTCATTTTAATCTTTGAGTAGGCTATAGCCTATCAGACATTGATTTTGTTTAATTTGAATAGATAACGGGTCTCTAATAATATGATTTTCGTAAACCCCTTTTCTGTGTAGGTGTTAAGTAAGTTGGGTGTGGGCTCGAGTTGGCGTTTTGTGGATGTTTTGGGTCTGGAAGATGAGTCTTTGTCAGGGGTGCCCTCACCCTGCTGTGCCATGATGCTGCTCTTCCCTTTAACGCAACAGGTACGTACAGACGCACGCACGCACGCACGCAGACGCACACAAAGCATTACAGTAAACGCGGGCGTGGTCATCTCTCTCACGTGAGGAATCGATACGTGAAAAACTTATAGATGCTCTAAGTGTAACGTTAGTTTATTATAGATAAGAAATTACAGTTTTAATTTCTTATTAGCCATTGTTGGCTTTTGGTAATTATTAATATTTCAGTTGGAATTTAGAGCATCTCTACAATAGCTTTCTTACTCGCATAATGTACCATATTAATTGTCTAACTTTAACCCACATCTCTCTTCTTTGTTTTAGCATGAGGATTTTCGTTCCAAACAGTCTGTTGACGACTCTAAAAGTGTATATTTTCTGAAACAAACTGTGGTCAACTCTTGTGGAACTGTGGGTTTGGTACATGCCGTGGCCAACAACCAGGACAGTATTGATTTTGGTAAGTGAAAACATGTGCCATAAACTTTCACTCATACACAAGATGTTTACTGATGCTGAATAGAGCTGATGGCTTTGTCAATTAAAAAAAAGAATGGATTTTTATTTAATTTATTTATCTTTGCATAATTTGACTTGCTGAATAAATTCAAAAACATTTAGACGACTCAGCCATTTTAATCCAGACTGCAACAATTTACATATGCATCACTACTGTTGAAATACAGAGTTACAAATTGACAATGCACCTTATTTTTCAATACGGAAGTAAGCTGTTTTCTGTAAATGTGTGAGATTTTGCCGCTGTTGGGAAATAATGAGAAGAATAACAAAGTGCTGTAAACAGTAAAACTGTTTGCACTACAAAACAGTGTGTTCATAATTAAGCTAATGCATTAAAATAATATGGTAAGAGACACCAGTTTGCAATATCATATATTTAGCTGTTTTGTACAGCTAAAAAAAGCTGGAAGCAAATGGTGCCGGAAGCCATACACATTAAGCTTCGTAATTGTCGTGCTCGCTCTTATGAGAAAAATAAGGTGGATAAGTTTAGATTGGTGAGAGAGGCAGATTCTTCGACACTTAGTTGTTTTTTTTTCCTCCTGTCTATAGACAGTGACTCTGCACTGAAGAAGTTTCTCGAAGCCACCTCAGGGATGTCTGCCGCAGAAAGAGCCAAAGAACTTGAACAAAATAAGGTATTGTATATGTTCATTAAAAGCCACACTAAACATGTGATTTGCCACATAATCTTTGCCAAAAACAAAGATTAACTTCAGAAATGTTACAAAGTTCATGTGACTCAAAGGCCTACTTAATTTTTTTGTGCAGTATTCAACAGAGATGGTACAATAGGTGGTACTGTTTTTATTTTCCATGTTTATTTTTTGTTGTTTAAAATAAATGCATTCAAACTTGATTTGTGCTTTTAAAATTAAGTTACCATTTTTTTCAGACCATCCAGGAAACTCATGATGCAGTTGCTGATGAAGGACAGTGTCGGGTAAGACAATGTCATACACACACAAACACTAGAAGTAATGACGAAGTTAATTCGTTTTTTTTTCTTCCTCCATCTCTTATTCTAACAGCCAGAGGCAGACGAAGTCAACTTCCATTTCATTACATTTGTCAATGTAAATGGTCAGCTTTATGAGCTGGGTAAGTGGATGACATAAATTGGGGTGTAGTGTCTGTTTCTGTGCCAATGACTTGCATTTAAATATAAACTCCTTAAATGTCTATTATAATAAAAAGTGAGTGTTTTGTTGTCTCAGATGGCAGAATGGATGGACCTGTGAATCATGGACCTACAAAACCAGAAAGCTTTGTCATGGTAAGCATACATTTTCCTACAGTAGATATGGGTGTTTGTAGTTAATGGCAACTGTAGCATGTTCTCTTGTAAACTGTCATTATAGTCAGAACAGTAGATTTAGAGCATCTTAAAGCAAGAGTCATCGTCCCATGACTGAATAACTGACTTCATCTCTCTGTAGGATGTGGCAAGGGTGTGCCGTGAGTTTATGGAGCGAGAGAAAGGGGAGGTGCGTTTCTCTGCTGTGGCTCTCTCCAAAGCTTGAGAGGAGCCAGACAACTTAGCCTGAACCATGAGCAGTTTCGGAAAACCCTTCATGCACTTACTATACACTTACTATACAGAGCACATAATCCAAACCTATACCATCCCTTGATACATGCTACACAAACTGCCTGCCTGTCTGACTGTGAATTACTGTAATTTCTCATTTCTAATTTATTTTATTTTGTCTCCTTATCAATCTACAACTACTATGCTCTTTGTAAACATCAGTATTTATTTTTAGCTTTTGTTGATGTACCTTATTTAGTTCTAGTTCTAATATTTTTGGGCACTTTTTTGATGGGAGCAACAATTAGCAGAAATTAAATGTGAACTCCTAAGCCTGGAGGCGTATGTTGAAAATAAACAAAACCGAGAAGGGTAATTTGCTTTTTGTGCAGTATTGTTTTTGACGTAACAATGCTGGAACTATGACATCACTGACTGACAGTTTAACTTCTCATTTAGACGTTACACTAGGTGGTTGCTGAATACAGTTTATTTAGACTTAATTCACCCATGCGTTCCACCTCATCCATAAACTGAGAGCTGTGACTCTAGCTAACCGAAGGGGATCTTGGCCTGGCTTTTCATTGATTGCAAGAACTCTGAGATTTGAAAGGATTTAAAAGGTACCCAGAGATGTTTTTTCTTACTTGACAGGTAAGATTGAATTGATTTATATAACACGCTGTAATTGTAGAATGAATTCATTATAATGTTTGACCATGGCCGTAACCATGTTTTGAACACCGAGTAGGGAAATAGTTTTGAACAATTTGCTAATGTTTTAAAATATGCACACATTCACTCTTATGTGTATGCCTAATATGTCAAAAAATAAAAAATTACATGTAACAAAAATCACAATAAACAAAAGAGTTTACATGAATCAAATTATACCAAAACGTCTATATAATGGCCAATGGGTGTCATTCACTAATAATTGTAATTATTTGTATTTACACAAACCTTCGGACTTTTAATTTTCTAATTCACAACACGTGCATACACGCATTAATTTGCTTCAAAAGGTGCTGTATGTGATTTTTTATTTATTTTTTGACTGCATAAAAATACCATTACATGTTTTCAGATATTTAGGAAAAATGTTAACACATTTGTTTCTCTGAAAAACAATGCTACAACTAGTTCCCTTTCGAATTTGGTCTCTCTACATTGTGTCATTAAAGCTTTGGGGGAAACTCTTTTCTTGAAAATACTACTCAAGCCTCATTGAACCACGACAGTGTACACTGGCCAATGGCATTCAAGCGTGCACATTATGGGTGGGGTTCCCAACCATATTAGGCAGCGCTTAATGCAGGCTGGGCAACTTTTAGTCCTGGAGGGTTACTGTCCTGCAGAGTTTAGCTCCGACCCTAATCAAACACACATGCCTTCTTTCTAGTGATACTGAAGACAGATGCCCTGTCCAAATACCCACACTTGCGATCTTGGCCATAGACATAATAAATACCTAGACGCCTCATTGGCCGCTCGACCGCACGTCAACGTCGCCGCCATATTGGTGCGGGCAACTCTCATCGGGACAGGCGAAAACATACCTGACTCGTCGGCAGCTTGGGCATCTACAAACCGTCGCACAATAATAAAAACAGATCTCGGGGTATTATCTTTCACAGGTAAGACTGAACAGTTGTTTCTGTATGTTTTTTGGTCATTTTTAGCTTTATGTTGATAGCTTAATTAGCCACCAGTGTCAGACTATTAATAGCTAGCGATATCGCTAGTAAGCTGTGAAAGCTGAGACTTTATATGAAATCAAAGTTTAAATGCATTCTTACGTTTTAACTTTATATTGTAGTTTATATCATAAAGTAAATTGTGTTATGACAGTTATACTACATTAACATTAGAATTGTAAGCCGAAAAAAATCAATCAAATCAACAATCATTATGTCTATGATCTTGGCCACGTGAGAGCGCGTGCACGTGACAGGAAGTGCGCAAGACTGTCCCAGGTCTTAAAGCCAAAGCGCAGGGATCTCGCGAGAGGTCACGGAAACCATTCCGATGTAAGTTAAATAGTAAGAATAATTAGATACTACACGTTATTTGGAAGAAATACAAAGTGTTTCACGTTTTATTGGTGCAAAGGTGAGTATATTTATTTTGTAGGCTACAACAATTGTAACTGCTTTTTATCACTTAATTAGAAGCACCACATATTAAATTGTGTCATCTGCTATAGAGACTACTAAACAATAATTTAGAAGTTCATTTTAAAATGCAAAGAATTGAAAATAAAATTAAAGCTTTTTAAACACTTGCAGTTTTACAACACTATAAGTGTGCCCCATCAGGTAATGAAAAGTTCTACACACACTTGTGTTCTGCATGGTCACTTGAACACTTGGGCCAAAGACAGGAAATATGTCATATAAGTAGTCAAATGGTCAAGTGCAAAGAACCCAAGTGAGGGGGGGTAACACGATAGCGATTTACAGAGGGGAACACGGAATGCGATGTGTACGGCAGGGGAACACACCCCCCTCGGACCTCGATCGAGATTTCTACCGAGGGGGAAATCGCTGAATAAAGTCATTGTTTTTGTTTTCTTTGCGCACAAAAAGTATTCTCGTAGCTTCATAAAATTACAGTTGAACCACTGATGTCACATGGACCATTTGTGCCTTGATCGTGGTAGGACCCTTGCTGTCTATCGGAGAGCTCTCAGATTTAATCAAAAATATCTTAATTTGTTTTCCAAAGATGAACGAAGGTTTATGGGTTTGGATCGACATGAGGGTGAGTAATTATTGACAGAATTTTCATTTTTGGGTGAACTATCCCTTTAATATGTTTTTAAAGGGGTCATATGATGCGATTTCAAGTTTTCCTTTCTCTTTGGAGTGTTACAAGCTGTTCGTGAATAGATAAGATCCCTAAAGTTGCAAAGACTAAAGTCTCAAACCCAAAGAGATATTCTTTATAAAAGTTAAGACTGGTCCATGCCCTCCTAAAACGCCTCGTTTAAACACGCCCCCAC